GCGCACGATAGATAATTGTTTTAGTCAATTTATATTGCATGTAAAGTATGTATTTGTAGGGAAATATGATAAAAGTATTATTATAGCAAAGCCAAAATATTAAATATCAACTTTTTAATATTTTGTTTTAAAAAATATATATCCGCGTTATATGTCCATGCTATTGGCTAATATTTGGACGCAGGTAATTGGTTAGAACAATATATGTTGCTAACTTACTCACAGTTTGCAAAATGGTGGGCCCTATGTGCAAGCAATGCGAGGCGAAGATTGGCCCGCTTCTGCTGAATTCGCAGCGGTCTACGACGGATGACCGTGCGCGCACTGCGTCTGCTGCGGGAAGCTGTAGTGCGGCTACGCATTCCGTACAATCAGCGGGCGGGACATCGTGCGGCGCTGTATTGCCTGCAAGAACGGCCTAAAAGCGGTTAACTTTTGGGAGGAAAAGCTTTTGCCACCTGGTTCGGCCGAAGTGCGCCGCCAGGAAAGCCTGTCAAACGTCAAGAAGGCGATGAGTCCTGGCTGGTACCCCAAGAAGAAAGAGAGGCACAGCCGCCCTCGCAAGCTGACCGCCCGAAACGCCAAGTACATCGAGCAAAAGAAGCAGCAGAAGAGCAAGTAATTGGTAAATATACCCTTTTAGGCCCCCATTTTCCTACCTATTTTTGTTTTTGGTATACTGGCTGACGGTGCGAGGCTTGGGGCCGCACATACGGTAAGCTGACTATGGTGTTGACGCATCTACAGAGGGTAGCGCGTTTCAAATAATAATTAGCGCACGGTGTCTACTGTGGACAGCCGCAAGCTCACCGTCCCTATCTGCATACGCGTCACGTATCCTCGCTCACTTGGACAAAGGCAAGACCAAGCTATCTGTATTGTCAAGGCTTACAGCGCTTATTCCACTAATGCGCGCTCGTAAATTGAAACTACAGTATGGAGTGAGCTCTACGCGCGACGAATAATTTGCTGTCTACACAGACACGAGCACGTGTGCGTTAATGCAGATCATACAAGTGAATGTGGCAAGTTGATGAGTCTGTACGCAGTACCGTACTTTAGTGCCCTGCTCAAATCGGTCGGGATCAGAGCTGGGATGGTTATAAGGTGTACCCGCCGCGCGCGTATATATCTGCTAGCAGACGCGCGGTCAGCTAGCCTGTATCTCTGCGGTATGACCACTGCCGAGTTAGTGACGCGCCTGGTCACATAGACGATACATCTGAAGCGTAAGCACAGTAAGTCAGCACGACGACGCAAATGTACCGATAAAGCGATAGTGACCCTATACATATGTTTTAGCTCTCACGGGCGCGTGTTATACACACTCATTAGCGACCTCGCGCTATATGCACGGACACATCTAATAGCAAACCGAGTTGATAAGTAGGCAGCAAAAATACTTCATATATTGTACATGAGCTACTTTTTAAATTTAGTCTAAACACCACTACAATTTGATACTCTGCCTACAGCCATGTGGCTTTGTGCGTTTGGCATACATTTAGGAGCCAGTAAATGCCAGTCGGAAAGGACCTACGCCACTCTGTCAGCCCGTATCTATGTACATACGTCAGTAAGTGCGTCAGCTGTGCAAGTATGATCAATGCATGCGAAAGATAGTGGAAAGGCCCTTCATTAAAATCATAAAGAGCTCAGCGGGACAATTTCAAGGCATAATATGAGACTGCGTCAAACAAAATGTTACTTATGAACCTTTGAGACTTATCGAGATAATCGGGCTTAAAGTTGGCCAATTGATTTTCGCACTTAACCGAAACAGTGACATTTATTGTAAACTTCCATCGAAAAAAACTGTAAAACCACCCTTATACAATTGCTTTTAACACGAGCTCTTAAATAACACTTAAATCTCTAAAATTTGAAAAATATTGAGCTCACAACATTCCTAAATGTATCGTCATTTCGAGGGCCCATAAATGAAGATAATATTTTTGAGCGACCACAACTTCTTCAGTTTTAAGCATTCTGCAGCTTATAAGGGCTCAAAAGATAGAGGAGATGCTCCGCTTTCGTTTAGAGTGCTTAAAATCGCGATTTCGGAACTTAAGGTCCATAAGTAACATTTTGTTTGACGCAGTCCTCATATTGATGTTTATGGCGACCATCGGCCAAATACTACCTGGTCCTAAAAGATA